TTATTTACAATAACAATAAATTTAGGTAAAATTTATATTAAATATATATTAAAAATAGTATTAATATTTATAATATAACGATGACAATATTTTCAATACTATATGGTTTTATAATTTAATTTGTATGAATTACTAATTGATATGCAAACGAGTTAATATAGCCATCATGATATTTAACTTGTATATTAAATAAGTAATGTACTCGTATAAAGTAGAGAATGACGCTTGAAAATCCTAAGAAAAATATATATTATAAATTATAATATAGTATTCTTTTATCTTAATTTTCAAATTGACTATATACTATAAATCATCATTTATCCAGATATACTCTAAAAATGAAAAATAAATATGGCCTTTACCTAGACTTTTAATATTTTTGTAGTATGAAGATTTCAAGCTTTTAGCAATACAATTGCTAAACAACATGCAAATAGCAATACGTAACTGAACGAAGTATTACCGCTGTAAATCTTGTCGATACCGTATTTTTTAATCTAATGTGTACACTGTACAGTGAGTTATCGTTCTTACATGCGGTGTGTATTGGCTATAGGCTTTACGATTATTCTGTAGGAATATGATATTGTATCGGCCGTCAGTTAGTTGCATCGTGTCATTTTATATAATTGTTACAATGAAATAAATGCAAATTTTCGTAAAATTGTAATCAATCTAGCGCATATTGCTATAGTTAAAATAAATTACTTAAATAACAGTATAAAATGAATGTTAAGCAATGTTCTCAATTCTCAGTGATCGAGGCGACAGTCCGTCTCCGATAAGAAATATTTGACTTTGGAGCTGGATGGAAAATAGGAATCTAGCATTTTCTATATTACTAAGTACAATATTTTTTGGAGAATTTTGATACATTAAAACTGAAATTTTAAATGAAAAGTTAATTAGTTACAACTTTTAAGCTATAACTTGAAAATCTATGGTGTTAATTTATTTAAATTTCTATGTTAGATATTTTCGGAAAAATAATTGAAAAAACTAATTGTTTTTGAGATTAAATGTTATTTTATATTCGGAGCAGAGTGATTTTACAGTGTGTTTTTTTTTTTATGTATATTTACAAGATACATAGTAGATAAAGCGTTTTTATTTTAATTTTGAATAGCAAATTGGATCTAGTTGGTGCTTTATACAGATTGATAGTATTTTGTGGTAAAAAATTTAACATAAAGACATAAAACTTCATTATTTATTTCTTTAAACATTATGGTTTATACCAATTTAAATCTTGTTATATTTATAATAGCTCATTTACATATTAGTAAGTTATGTATAGAAATAAATTATAAAAATTAAAAATCATACATTATTTTTATCATAATTTTTAACTTTTTTTTTTTGAAACAACTTTTTTTTAAGTTTTAATTATATTGTTTAAATTGGCTTTTTGAATGTTTTTTCTTTTATAATCTTATATTTAGGAGTTCCAATTTATAGTAGGAAAATCAATTTTTTGTATGGCATACATCTTCATGTAATTGGATGATCTAAAATCTACAAAATTCAACAAACAAAGTTAATCAAGTAAGTAGTACTATGCTGTAAATTGTGCTGTATATTAGTTGTTTTGAGTGTAACTATAATAAGTGTTTTAAAATTAATTTCAATAATACGTATATAATATGAATATTTACTCGTTTTTTTTAAAAAATTTTGGTATTCAATTGCAGTTTCTGTAAGAATATAACACAGTTGTGTAAATTATATATTGATTTATAATAATTATTTATATAGTGAATGGTCACAACTATTTCTAGTCTGTGAATCCTTTCATTGAGAATTAAAACAATACGAAATCAAATTAAAGTGACTATTTCATGAAAAACCGATAATTTTTACAAATTAAGTGTATTAACTTATAATTATGTTTTATTAATGTATTATCTAAATCAGCGGTTCTCAAATTTTTTTTTCGCGTAACACTTAAGTATATTATCAATCAGTCGCGTACCACTGATGATTAAAAATCCAACTACCATGCGGTCTTCCGCGTACCACCATGTAGTCTTTCGCGTACCATAATTTGAGAACCGCTGATCTAGATCTATTGAAAGCAGGTACCTACCTAACCTAATACACTAATAAATTAACTACAAATGGTTACTATACTATCTATACTCAACAATAATACATATATCATTATTTAATCTTAAACAAATACGTAGAATGGAAGTATTTAAATTAAACATAAGATTAATTTATTAAATTTATACAATAACTTAAATGACTTATGTTTTGCATTTCAAACTTCATCTCTAGCTTATTATATACACACCATCACTTCCTCTATAATCAAAAGATTTGTCAGATTTTTCACCTAAAAAAATAATGTGTGATACAGTATTATAAATTATCAATAATCATACATTTTTTATTAAAAAAAAAAAAAAATTGATTCGATTATGCTATTTTCATTTGATAATCAATTAATTATTTTTTAAACTATAACACTTTTACATTGCATTACTAACCGCAGAATCCAGCTTTCGTTAGTTTATCTGTTATGAAAATATATAAAATTATAAGTTAGTTTTTAAATTGAATAAAAAACATCATCGTTTATTTCTATTAATTAATGATTTACTATGCTAAATGAGATATTACGGTACCTACCTATAATAACTCATTTTCATATTAATTAATAATGTATACATTAATTTGTATGTTATAAAAACTAATTTGCAATGTTATTATGCACCTATATATGTATTTTTATTCAACAACAAACTAAATTGAATTTGTTTACAGAAATGTACATAATTTAGTAGGTATTTGAATCAATGTAACTTAGTATACAAGAAAAAAAATTGTAGATAATTTCGATTACTAGATATTTCAAAACCTATAAGCTAAGTTATTTAAATAAACATTTTTCTAGATAAAAATATTTTTGCGATTATTTAGTAATAATCTCAAGTCATCTTAAAATATATTTGAATAAATTCTTTAGTTAGAGATAAAATACATTTTTACTGTACTTAGCATCTCAACTAAATATATGAATAACATACCATCGTTTTATTAGTTTTATTATAAAATGCAAACTATATGATTTATTATTACTATTATTATGTATTTAATACTCACCAACAATACTGTCTACCAAACAAACAACAAATAATAATATATATAAAAAAAATAAATATATTTAATCAAAACTATTAAACAATAATGTGCACTTAACATTATTAAATAAATACTAACTTAACATCATTATTTTAGCGGGATCAGTCAGAAAATTCCACTGTTTATCATCTTCGGTAACAGCCTGAATAGTTAAAATATTAAAACAAAAATGATAAAATATTAATAGTTTACAAATACAATAAAACATTTTAATTGTTTTTGACTTTTGAAATAAATATTACAATACGTGTTATAATGAAAATTTAAAATGTTGAAATATGAAAATCAAACCGAGCTGATGCTTTAAATAGTGGTTAAAACAATGACAAATTTAACAATAACAACATTTGTACAAATAATATGGTTGTGTTACTTACCGAGTTATTTCAACATATATATTATACGGAGAGGTGATGTGTATACCGATGGAATAACATATTCAAACAGTGTAGTATCGAACGGCTAGGGTGAACACCTGCATATCGTGTTATTTAATAAAACAATTAAGACTTGATCACACGTTTTGGATTTATTGGAATTGATGAAATCGCAGGAAAGGCACCCAACTGAAAAATACATATAATTTAGAGAGCTCCTTTAGGTCATCGGAAATCGCCACCTCCCCAGTCACCACTCTTGACGGTTAACCATATATAAGGGAGACCGGGGCAAGAGCCCAGCAGACGGTTAGGGATATTCGAGACGCTCAGAGGCAGGTCGTAACACCATTCACTCCATCTTGTGCTTATAAAATTGTATTCTTGTACGAGTTAATTGTATTAAATAAAGACTTAATCTTTTAACTTGCAAACATTAGTATTTCTATTTCTACGTTGTTATAAGGGACGCAACAGTTGCATAAAATTTAAAAATACAAAACATCATTATCTACTTCTATTATTAATAAAAGTTAATGTTTTAATCACTATTGATTTAATTTTTCAAAAAAATCAATTTTATTATACATACACAAACATAAGACCACAATATAAAATAATTTTATTTTTAAAAATTCGTCATTGTGCTCAGAATCTAAACAAACAAGTAATTTTTAAAAATAAAGTTAAAAAATAATAATTGTTCATAGTGAAATAAATTAGTTGTGTAAATTATTTTTTTTTTTTTGGAAGTTAAAACTCTTTTTAGCTGTAAAGAGATTAGACATTTCGATGAACATTTCTCGTAACCAAACTCTTAAGATCGCTGGAACTCCATTGAGTACGATTGACCATTTTCGCAACCCGATTGAGCACTTTATACCGTAGAATATTATTATTAAAAAATAAAATATATTTGAACATAAATATTAATAAATAAAAATCTTTTATTGGTTTTTAATCGTATTATTACATGATATTAAAAATGTGAGTTTATATTATACAGTGGCATAAAACTGTATTATACAAGGTAAAAATTGTTTGAAACAAGCAATATAAAAAAATAAAGACGATATTTTTAGTTATCATTGTCATAACTCATGAATAATAATTTTATTATTTATAATTGTAACATGCTTATTTAGCATCCGTGTGTAAGAAATGATTTAAATCAATTGTACCTACTATTATAACATTATTAATATATTATATAGATATAATGAGATAGTATAAAGTATTAATTATGGTTTTCGATTTATTTCTATAAACAAGTTTAACATAAAAAAACTGGTACCTTTGTTTATTTAAACATTTTAAAGATAAAATAAATTTTTTTGATATTAAATATAAGTATTCAGTATTTACATGAAGTAAAAAAATGTGGAACCAAAAAGTTAGTAGATATAGTTATTGTTAATTGGCAGATAATGATCTAATTGAAGTCGTAATTTATTTGATAATTTAAGAAAACAATTTACTGTTAAATATTAAAATATTTTAAATTTAAATGATCTCTAGTCATTAGGTATATGAATTTATGGTACATGCGGTACATCAATTAGTTTAATATATATTACAATTAAATTTATTCCTCTAAAATATACGAAATATATATATATATGAAAAAAATATAAATAAAAAAAAGTTGAAAAATACTCACATACAATATAAAAATGGTAAAAATTTAAAGTTCTTTCTCTAAATACTTATTTCCAACTTTCAATAAGTTTTTAAGTAGATAATAAACATTTTTAAATTTGAATACTTCTGGTAAGCCTTCATACTAAAGTTAATTTTTTGGGCTTCGATACCATTAATTTATTTATTAATAATATTACTTGTTATTGAATACAAGTTGGTTATTTTTTCCGCCTGGATTTCAAACACAGAATTAGTTTGAGTTTTTATTAAATTTAACTAAAAAAAAAATTGTCTTCTTGGAACCAAGGTAATCCAGGAAGTGTTTTTCTTCGTCTATCATAAATAATAGCTTTACAAACCGTTTTCAAATCTTCATGGACAATTCACGTTAATTCATTACTATGAAGGAGTTCATGTTTAATTAATTTCAGAGGTTGAATTGATATCGATTCTTCAGCCCGTCGAATGAAAAAAATTCAACGCTTAAGCTAATAGGTAAATTTACTCTAATATTAAAGCAATTAAAGTTAACATCACTAAATCAGTTTTATTAAACGTAAATATTTGCAGTCACTTAAATGATAACTTTTTCTATATTTTTCAACTACTTTTAAACTATAGGCATGACGATTTTTCAATTTTTACATCGAGATACTTTAAGATAAGGAAAATTATTATTTTGATATCGAGGCAAAACATTTAAACAACTATTAAAAAAAAAAATAATGTTTTATTAAAACAAAAGCCAGCTATTTTATATTTTTACACCTATTTATATTATTATACTATGTACATATACGCGATCTCCTTGTAATTTTTTTTTTTTTTTTTTGAAAAAGGGATTTATATTTACTGTTTTTCCTGCTAGAGTGCGCTTCCGGGACTAAAAGTAAATACTTCATAACTGTATTTTAATCACATATAATGATATTGTGTGTTAGGATTTTACTCTATAATATAATATATAGTGCCATGGGGGTAGTAAGTAGTAACTAATTACTAGTTTATTATTTTGTTTATTAAAGTTTCTAAATTTTATATATTATTAGAATTATTGTATAATTTAATAGTTTATTGGATAAAGTAATGATGGTGATGTGAATGTTTTTTATAATAAACAAATAATTAAAAAGAAATGGTAACAAAAATAATATCAATAAATTAACGTAGAAACCCACAGTTATGAATTTTACAAAATATTATTATGTATTATATACGTTTTTACTTGTACTACGTCAAATGCGATACATTTCATTTTAAATATAAAATAATTATAATTTAAAATTATATTTTCATATTTAATATTAAGATCACCGTGACACACTTTTGGACAAAAATGAATTTTATTTGCATATACTTACCATGAACCTCTGGTTGGTTAATAGTTTTGAAAACATTATACAATATATTTTATCATAATTTATATTTTTATAGTTATATAATTATTATTTTTATAATATACCTTTGTGGTACATTTTTTGATTATTAAAAGTTTCTAATCGAATATTGAATCTAGTGATATATTTAACAGGTCAGTATTAAAAATGGAAAAACAATAATCTTTTTGTAAAACTATTTTACCATCAAAATGATTTATTTGTTTTGTTGTAAATTTAAAATAAATAATCGTAGATGCTCGTAATTTTTTTAAACTATTTATAGATATTTAAATTTTTGTTTTTTATGAATATCTATCAATTAGAATGTTTTTGATTTGCAGAAAAAAATTTAAAATTAACTTTAGGGTCTCATAGTCGTTTAAAAATATTAAATATGTAATATTACGGTTTTTTTTTCTCGACATAATTCAAATGTTGACGAAATTAGTGAAAATCGTGGAATTTTTAAAAATGTTATATTAAAAAATGTATAAAGTCGTCAAGTTTTAATAATTAGAAATACAGTATCTAGAAGAAGTATACGTAGTTTATAATTCAACCAATAAATCTAAAAAATATATAAACTTAATTTTTTTTTTTTATTATTATTTGGATTTTAAATTTCGGAGTTTGAACATTAGATATTTAAACTAAAAATAACGTTTTAAGCTATTTTGTTGTACCTAATTTAAAAATATTGTTCATTGATAATCTAACCCCTCTCCTGTAAAGTATTAAATATATTTCCTGCCAGAAAAAACATTTGATTTGAAAATTTAAATATTTTACTTCTTCAAAATGTGATATTAGACAACAAAATAAAAAGTACACTTATCGGTCCGTTCAGAATCCAAAATGATTTAGTACGAAATTATAACGAAAATAATTATAAATTTCAAGCGTATTGAAAGAAAAAAAATTATGGTTATTCTGGTTATTTATCAAGTCGTATTAGTCAATTTCTAACTAACTTTAATTAATCATAAAAACTCAAAATTATAATTCAAAAAAGAATAACTACAGACCTTGCATTTTAAACAAATATTTATATTAGAACTTTAAAAATTTCACTCTCTTTGTACTATTATATATTTTATATAGATACATAAAATATTAAGAACAAATTAATGTAGCATGGTATTATTTATCAATTTTTTTTTATTTTTTTTTTTTTTTTTAAGGATAAAAAATATTAAACATTAGAGCTTGCCAATGCGTATATTATTATTTTATTTACGTAACAAAAGTTTGTAAATATTAGATTAATTTTTAACTATTTACCACTTACATATTTATACTATTCTATTAAGTTTCGATATTGATATACCAATAAGTTAAAAATGACAATAAATGATAAAAAATATTATAAAATAATGATTTTATCGTACATCTTATATTTTTATCAAAAGTTGTAATTCAACTTGGTCAAATATCGTTTTACTGATAGAAAAAATAATCAAATTCTATTAGTAATAGACAATAGTATTACATATAAATTATAACCCTTTGCGAACTTATATAACGATATAAGTGGTATGAATACAAATCCTAACGTAGATTTTGATGTCATCTGTGTAAAATGTATACTAATACATTGTCAAATTTTTTATCACAACTTAGTCGAAACCACAAAGATTTACAAACTTCAGTTATCGTTTAATAACAAATCTCATGTTTACAAAAACATTTAATTTATTTATTATGTTATTACTTATTGGTATGATTAATTTGTGTATTTATTCCATAATATATTATTGTTATTGATTTTTATGTTAGTACCGTCTTATTTTAAAACGGTTTGAATAGGTCAATAGTATAAA